ATTTCTGATTTGAGCAATGAAACTTGCAAATCTTTTTTCAATAAAAATGCTACGAGTTTCTTACAATTTTTTATCCATACAGGTTATTTGATCTTTATAAATCCGTACATGTTACAGTAAAATAATATCTTTAATAAAATAAGGTCAAGGTTTTTTTTACTTATTTTATAGTTGATTGGACTGTTGCTGTTGAAACAGTTTTCATTTATTATTTATCAACATAGCATTGTGAATGCAAAATAAATAAAAAAAAAAAAAATTAAAAAGGTTTGAAAAATAAAACTCATAAAATATTATTTAATATTTTTATTTTTATAAAGGTTTCATTGTATTCATTGTAGGTATAGTGTCATTTGAAATATATGCCATTGTTATATACCAACCGGATGTGTAGTAGGCGATTACGTATAACTAATACAATGGTATTAAAAAAAAAACATAATAAAAATTAATCAAGAGTCTACTTCTACTCATCATAAAATGCAGTAAGTAAAACTATACTCGTATCTCAACATAAAATTAGTAAAGAAAAGTAAAATTGAACATACTTAGTACTGGGTTATTTATATTGTGCATTAACTAAAAGTAGGTAAATTAATAAAGAAAACATATTCTAAATTTAAACTTAATTTAAAAGCTGCTAACATATATTGTAACGCCTTAGCGACACAAAATTAATAAAAAAAAATTAATAAAAACACGGGAATTGGATGTCATTTTATCTATTACTTTATGTCAACTAGAAATAACTTTCGCGATATACTGGTATTTTAAATGCTATATAAATAGGGCATGCTCTGCTATCTTTGTGTCGCTTTGTGTTTATTTGACTTAAAAAAAAAATCAGCTGACAAACCTTATATTTTATTAAAAAGACTTACGATTTCATATACTAACATTTTATAATTTTAATAATTTTATGACCTACGAGGTTTATATTTTATTGAGTTTCTCTTATATTGAGTCAGTCTCCAACATAAGCGGATTCGTCAGCTGATTTTTTCTCATAATAAACGAAATCTTCTTGATATATCAATGTTATACTTGGATGAGCCTTCTTAAGGTTTAATATCTGTAATATTGAAACCATGGTTCAGTATTATATCAATATTATTATCTAAAAAATTTATATGAAGAACGTATTCCACTGATATTATCATAAAGAGTAATCATTTAACCATACGAGTATAGACCTGACAATGAAGCGGCCGCAAAAGTTCGAACATCGTCCAATACAGTTTCTATTTACAAACGGACTACGAACCGACGATTTGGGGTATCCATTATATTTGTAAGTAGTTAGAATTTATCCCAAAAATACTTTTCGGCGTACGTTTGTGATAAGAAAATGCTTTTCTTAAATCGACATCGCACGAAGGGTGCGCGAAGACATGACGCTCATTAAAATAATTTCCATTCAATAACAGTCAAACAAAATTGGACTAAACAACAAGGAATTTGTACTTTGGGAGATGTGATATATTAGAGAATCGACTAGGTCCTCATCAAAATGAATATTAAATACTTAATAAACATTGTATCCATAATATATAATATAAGCAATATAAAACGTAACATAATCGGAAATACTAGACAATAATATAATTCTGCTAAATAACTGAAATAATTCAGGTTCATCGTCAGAATTGTAATGGAACTAGCCAATGCGGTTGTCATAAAAAAGTTTATCAACTCGCAAGCCGATGTTATCGACTAGATACGGCTTCGTTTATAATCGAGCTTCACTATTGGCTATATCCATTACAAAACTGACAAAGGATTTGTCTAACAATATTATTATTAATCGAATAAAAACTTCGATAAGTTTTTGTACCGAAAAATGTATCTAGCGTCTCGTATTAAAATGATATGCTTGCGAACAGCAACACTTTGGTTAGGATCACAAAACTGCAGGAATGCTGCCCGCCTTAAATCCGACAGAAAACGAAAAATTAATTTTCCCAATCCCTACACGAACCCACTACACATTCTGCTATACTCTGATCAGTGTTGACCTCATGTTCGGTTATCTGAGTTATCGATATCATATTAATAATAAATGTCACAACATCAAGCCGGTATAAAAAACACTAAGCTTACTAAAACTACTACCTGCGAAAACTCTTTTAAAGAGTAAACTTACAAGCTACATTCGTAAAGTAACACATAGCCCGCCGCTCAGGCAGCGGGCACAATATCAGTATCCGTATAAAATATAACATATTTTTTTTTCGCCTCTCAAGTTTTATTACAATTTTCTGAAACAACCTTATAGCTAGTCATGCTTTACCAACATTACAAAATAGACAATACAACGCTCACTATCGTTACGAGTTAATAGCTTTTCACTTTATATACTTTAATTTAAACCGTTACAAAATGGAACTTTTCATTATCGTAACCAGACGTATCCTTATTCTTAACATTAGTGCCAATTCCTTACGCATTGACAATGAACATACAAAAATATACGCTGACGAAGTTTTCAAAAATAATATCATTTTTTTTTCGAACGGTATAGTGGTATCTAGTATCGAATACTTATTTCTTAAACCTTATAATTAGTTCAAGCACTTACGATTATACTTAAAAGTAAACAATTGTCATTTTCCTTCTGAGCTTCTGACATCATTCCCGCGAAAACTACCCGACAAATTTCAGCAAATTGTAAACAAACTAAAGAGATCAAGAAATAATAAAATGACATGACCACACTCAAACTAAGTTATTATTAATAGTGGTTAGACAACCAGTGTATCTACACATGTAATACGGAATATACTAAAACATAATTATGCAAGATATATTCATTCATTCAAACGTACGATTCAAATTTGAAAATGCCTTGGACATACTTTGAAATTTCACTTTTATCAAAGCCAAAATTAACTTAATCTCATCTATGAGATCATATATTAGAAAATGATGAAGTATGTCTTAGTGCAACGATCAATTTTAAAGCACATAATGCTGATAATGAAATAAATCGATCAACCAGACTAGAGAGTAAAGAAATTAAATGATATTTTAGAAGAGTTCCAAAATCGAGACAACATACAAAATATCTCATCATATAGAAAATGCGCATATAAAATTACTAAGCCTAGATAAAATAACCTCAATTTTAAATGCCTAATATCAAGAAGAAATCTTGTGACACATTAATAAGATTTGATCGATGACATTTCACGTTGTAAAACGGCATACGAAAATTCAAAACAAGATTGCTCCTCAAAATTGGACGAACAAATAGTCTTACATAATATCTTTTATCGCTGTGATACACGTTGCGAGCCCGAGGCTCGATTTTTCACCTTACAAAAATACTACACCTACTCTTTCCAGTAAAAAAATTATATTACTTGATGTTTACATTATACATTATTAATAGAAAAAATGTTACCACTACTTTTACCGTTACGAACGTACAAAATTTTTAAGTTTCTTTATAAATTATGACACTCATACCCTGATGCACCCCGCGCATTTACGTAAAAACCGTTATTCTAATTGCCACGCAATAACTTAATTATTATCTTAAACCAATTCGTAAGATTATCACCAATTTAGAAGTTGTTAGAGTTGGCTTTTGCATCCAGGACCGTGTTGCATAGAGCTGATAGAAACCATTGACAGCATTGATAGAATTATATTGACGGTATAATGGTTAGCAAATTGTCTTCGAAACGTTATGGATGAATAATATCATATATTCCCGTCACATATACCAGTCAGAGACAGTGATTATTTTATTTTATTTTTTTCACATACAAATTCAGTCTATCAAATTAAAAATTTAATATCGTTAACAGTGCTGCCTTGACAGGACTGGTCCGTAGTGTGTAATACTACTAATTGCGACAAAGGGTGGCGTAGCTCTATCTACACAAGTTAACACCAAAGATTTACACGAACTTACTACCATAGTGTAGAAAACATCGAGTATCAAAATATAATTAACACGTTTTGTTATGAAATCTTTTTTCACTAACCAATTACAGCCGTATACTAGAATCAGCCAACGCGTTTGGAAAAAAATTGAGCTCCACGATTACGGACGCTGGGTATTTGTGTGGATATTGAATGTCACGCTCACTCGCCTACTATCTTTAATTTCCAAGAGATTCATAAGCTTTCCCACAATACAATATGGCTTCTCGGTTAGCCATTTTGGTCTGAAGTTTAGAAATAGCCTACCTTATAATCAGACGGCGGCCCATTTTGATTTTGTCACTCTATTTAATAGGATTTTTCACCGGCACAGAAAGGTTTTTATTGAAAAATATTTCAATATGGCGGTTGTTTTACTTATAAAATACGGAGACTCTAGTACGGCAAAATTTAGCATTCATAGCCGGCAGTGATAGTGGTAGACATTACACCGATCGCGCATCATAACACTAAGATTTATCACGAGAATTTTTAAATTTAACTTGATTTAACACAATAGCTGCGCGGACGCAGCAGCTATGACCAGAATGTTCACGTTCAACAACACCTATCAAAGAGGTGGCAATAGCAAAATTATTAATGAAAACAATATGACTAAAATTAATGTCAAGTGTGATCACATACATCCATCCCTTTCACACGATATTATAAAGGAAATCTTATGATTCTAAATAAGAGCTACTATGGAAAAAAGATTAGATTAACCTATCCAAAGTGAGACAAATACCTACAGTTCAACGAATATTATGCCGACGATGTTATTCTACTTAGTGCGTCTACAAATCACTAATATATACGAAATATAGGTAGTTAATTAATAGAAAAAAAGAATATCAAAGAAAAAGATATAGTTTCTTTATAATAAATAACAATTTTCGCTCCTAAATCTCAACGAACTAAATGAAATTTCTTTACAAAACGGTCTATTCATTTGTGTAAAAATGAAACAATTGCGGGTACATATAGGAATTATGTTACAGCAACTATTTCGTAAAGATTACCTAGACGTGAGTTACTTTTTTTTTAATATTATGTATTCGTTTTATTTTATAAAATTTGCAAAAGTAACAAATTCTTTCTTTGTACTTTTAAGCAATTCACTAAATTACACATTAAAAATTCAACATGAAGAAATTCGAATGCATCGGTGTCTAAATAAATTATTATCATTTAATACCATAAATACAACAAATATGTGCAAATAAACTTATTAGTTGGCAACGTTTATGTAATTATTATTTATCAAAACTGAACAGTTGATTACTCAAATATGAATATGATATTAAACAAATTTTCTGATTTTCATCTATTGTGAGGGGAACCGAAATTAACGGATATAACACGATTTTTTTAATCTATACAACCTTTAGAAGCGTTTGGGATATTAAGACAAGAAGTCAAATGAATATATTAAAGAAAGAGAGTTTTATAGTTATAAAAACCTTACTTTGAGAAATGAGGCAGCAATAAAAAGTCAACTGATTGAATTTAATTTGTATGTAAATAAAAATATATACTTTATAAAGAAACCTTATCCGAAATGGTAAATTTATTTTGTAATATTCTGATAATTATTTTATTAAGTGATATAAAATACAATTTAAGGTTACCGTGTTAAGTTGTACTATACAACTTAATGGGTGTTGATATTCTAAAAACCGGAATTCTCAACTTGAGTAAGAGTCAATGATTTTAACTATAATTCACTATTTTCTTTTTAATATTGAATACTCTATAAAATAGTAAATAAACAGCCTTACTGATGCGTCGGAGGACTGATATAGTTTCCAAAATAGTGTTTTAATTATTACGAGTTTGTACCGGTATTGTAAACGACTGATTAAGTCTTAGTATTTTTCTTTTATTTAAAAACAGGTTATATGTTTATAAAATCTACGTAGATGGCTCTGTATTTGACTATTAAACAATATGACATTATAATTTGTGTCGTTTTAGCTAATCGGGCGCCGAACTGGAATGACACATCACTTCCATTTGTACATGGCAACCATCAGATGATCTGGATCATTTAATATTTTTCTAAATATACCAACAACAGCTCGCTAATTTCCTCTTTTTTTTTTTAATTATTTTTTCAAATACTTTATTGTGTACATTCTCATTGTAGATAAATGTACATTTAAACTTTTTAAATATAATTCTATATTCGAACGAGCAAACTTCGATAAAATTAAAGAACGAATAACACATGAGGTGTCATTGCAATTCGGTCCCAATGAATAAAATAATTAGGGTATTCTTTGATATTGTTGAAATTATGTACTATCGATTTATGGCTAAATATGCAATATATCTTAAACATTTTCCGATAAGCATCTGCGTGTACTTGAAAAAACGGCATATTTACAATACTATGATGTGATGCTATGTTTAGGGTATTAGAATATATGTAATAGATTTCATTCTTATAGTAACTTTGAAGCAAAGGATACTAATACGAAAGTATTTTTAAGAGGTATTACAACCACTCGTGGCTACTGGCTGCTATAGCTCAAAAAGCATCTAAATTACAAATAAGATTTATAAAAATCATGATAAAATATTTTATATTGGTATGAAGAAATCTGGTTTCTTTTGATTTTTATATGTTCCTGTATGTTCGATATAGCGCACTTTAGGTTTGCTTCAGAAAGTAACGTCTCTACGTCAAAATTTGGACGAGCTTTTGGGGCGAATCCGTGAGATAAGTTTGAGGCCAGTCTATTTTATTGTATTTGTATTGTTTAAAGTAAGTTTTGATTGTTGAATCTGGTGTTTTATTGCCATACCGATATTGTATGTGAGCGAACAATATAGTTCAGTGAAATAGGCTGGTAGTATGGTTTGTAAGCAGAGAAAATTGGCTCCATGATAAAATGTTAATCATATATTTTAATGTTGACTTATCTATGCTCTTATATCTTTAAGATTGGCTCCAAAAACTAAAAAAGCTATTCCAATGTCAAACACAAACATATGATAGAGAATATTAAATACTAAAGAAATGGCTGTATGGCCTAAATGCCTTGGCCATTAATTAAACAACAACTAGGCTTGTAATGTACCTGAGAGCATAGAAACCAGTAGCCGTCCACTCAAACAGTGCCGATGAAGATGATAATGAAGAGTGATGCGGATGATAAGTGATGAAGGCGTACGATGATAAAACTACGTACTACATTACACATACGAACGTGACATCTTTTGGACGTATTCAGTCCAAAAGAAGAGAGATTAATGTGCTCGGGAACGCGTACAAGACTACCTTGACATCCCATTTAAGGCAAACCAATTTCATTAGAGCGTCATCTGTTTTACGAACCTACGCGTGATTTATTAAAGTTTGAATTTAGAAACGGCGTTTGTCAACTCCAACACGTAGCTTTGGACCCATCTTAGAAATCGCTCGATTACGCGCCATTAAAAAGAATCAAACTTTTTTCTCGCTACAAGGCAAAAGCGTAGAGCACATTAATCCTAAAATTTAGTAAAATGGCAGTTACGATTTAAAAAGGACATTGCAAAAATTACCTACAAAAGTGTTCAAGTCTTCATTAAGAATTATTGCCTAATAATTTAGCGAATAAATCCGCCCGTATCACCTTTTACTTTACACATTGTAAACAATTTGGTTCGTATGCGCCTAGCTATCCGCACCACTTGTTATCACTAAACACGCACTATAACTATAGTTTATCACTTGTAATCACTTTGCGAGTAATAAGTATCAAATGTATAAAAACCCTTATCTATAAAGTTAACGTTAAACAGTTAAAGAGTAGTGCACTTCACTTAAAACGCTTATTTAATATCGAAGCGCTATTCACTTATAAATAAATAGACATTCATGATAATTATAAGAAAAAACCCTTAATCCTAACTTATTTAGCCAAAGGTTTTAACAAAAAAAGAAAAAAATATGTGAAAGTTCCTCTCGCTTTCAGTGTTTAAAATTAAAAGAGAACGTCTCAATGATTAGTGGTGTACATAAATTTTGATAATATATCGACCACAAAACGAATAAACAATACACTCTTGTTTGATATGGCACAATTTTGAAATATTATAAACACGATTCCACAATAAGTATCTTTAAAAACGTCCCGCTAATCACTGAGAGCGAAATAAATAATAATGAAGTAAATCAACGATGTTAAAGTTACATAAGCTTACCGTAATTGTAATAGATAATATAGACAAGCTAATCATATTATTGGTGACACAGCAACGACTTACACTTAAAAATCCTCTACCATTATTATTGTTAATTAAATTATGTGTAAATTAATAGTAATTAAATGAAACTGATATAAGAGATAATAAACTAACATGGCATCTTCATGTTGAAGTCCCTTACACGTCTAAAGTGCCATTTGGTGGGAGGAAATAAAAGTTCGCAATAAACCTACGAAAATATTGTATAACAAACACTTAAGTTAGGTTTAAAATTTTGCTAAAATAAAACATAACTAATAAACTAAATTGAACTAAACAACACACCACTCAAACCCCTATCAGATAGGGTAATCAGTATCACTGAAATCGAAGGTAATCAATAATTTTAAAAATCCTCTCCATCAACTCCTTCAAAAGGAATTCACACAAGATTTATGATGCAATCGACAAAAACAAAAATGCATTTCCTGGCTTCACACTTCAACGCTAATTTATTATTTCCGATAAAAATCAACATCTAATCAACAAAGTGCAGAATAAAATTAAAATAAAATCAATAGTACGATCTAAACCGACATATAAAATTATTTTCAATAATACCAACTTAATTTAACAGAAATTATTCCTAACGTCCTTGGAACGCACTTGAAAAGTTCGTGAAAAAAAGTCCTTTAAACACCGCCGATTACGCGATTTGGTTCAAATAGTCGATGAAGTCGTTCGAGAACAGCTGAAGATGCGACGGGTCAGCTAGAGGGGCCGGTCGTGGTCGGCCGCAACCGCCGAGCATTGGTAATGGCCGTTCAGGCTGTTTTGGCCTGAGCGCAGCGAGGTATCTCTCGGCTAGTGACTCTCCTAAGCTCATCGCTAGCGTCTCCGGGCTCAATCCGAGCAAGTTGAGCGATTCCGTGATGCTAGCGAGGGTGGGCGCCATGTATTTTGGCTCTTCAGGTTCTGGCACGCGAGATGCCATACTTGTATTAACGACGGGACGTAAAGCAGGGGGCGAGGCGCGGCGAGGAGGCGACGGTGTAAAATTCCACGCATCAGCGGAGGCAGGGGGGGTGCCGGGGGATGTCCCCGGCACCGCCGTCTGTTATGGCCACTGCTGGAATAGCGGGAAAGTCCTCTTTGTGAAGCAGTAGTTCATGGGCTTGACGAAGTGCGTGTCAAGCACCCGGCAGTGCGGGCACGTCACTGGATGCGAATAGTCTGAATAGTTGAGTCGCTGCTGGGGATGCAGAAGCGGTTTGTAGCAGCTGTTGCACTGTAGACAACAGAGTAACGCTGTTTAGTATTAAAATTTCAATCGGCACATTTGCGAAATTAGAGAATAATATTTTAAAGCTACACACACGATTTATATTCATCAAACAACTATTTTGATCTAAAATTCAAATCACATTATTCAAACGTCATTTAAATTCGACATATGTACGAACCTTCAACCTCTCCGCGCAACAGGGTGTTGCCATGAAAATGTCATAAGAATACATGGTGCCGAGCACAAGGGACGTGCCGTCCCATTTTTGGCCACAGAATCGGCATCGGATTGTTCTCTCTGGATCGCACCTTTCCAAGCAGCCCATACACACACATGTTAAGTATTGGGTACGGCCTTCCACTTTGACCTGAAACAAAAAAAAAATATTTAAAACAAACATAAGAATTTGTACAGCTCGTAAATAATAATTATACTGCTACAAAAGTAACAACATTTCTTTAAAATCTTGCCTTTGAAACAGGATGTTAATTTTATAAACAAACACCCGCGTATTTTGACGTCTTATATAATTAGCAAATAAATGAGCCATAAGTTGTTACATGAAATAGAAAGGGATGTTTTATTAAAGCATCTAAATTATTACGTGTTCTTATTTAAGTTTTCAAAAAAGTCGCGATTTGTCTACTCACTTCATTACGCTTCTGTATGGCGATTTCAAAATAGAGTGACGACAAAGATCAACATCGTATTTAATGACATCCCATTGTTTGCTTAGACTGAAGTTCCGAAATTTAATTTATTAACTTCCTGCATATTTAGTGAGATTTTTTCTGCTCTAGTAATTCGCTTAAACAGATATTATTAGATAATCGTTTACAGTAACCTAATTATCATAATTATTACCTCCACAGCGCTGTTTGCATGCTGTCTTGGACTCAAGAAGAAGGTTCCGTCGACAAGAGGATACCGATCGAATACGTGTAGAGTTTCTTTGCAGAGAGCGCACGATACTCTTGGTTTATGCTGGCCAGCCAAAGTCGACAAGATGAACAACCGGGTATCATCGTTGCCATGGTTACCTTCATCTTCAATCTAAAACAAAAGAGATTAGGAAAATTAAAATACGGAATGTAAAAACTTCCATCATGACATTTAATTACTTCTACGGAGGAAACATAGGTCGCCGTTTATTATCTTAGAGCAAAGACGTTAATGTAAACTACGCTCGCAATTTCAATATTTCATATCCCCACATTTACATATTACGATTAATGCATCCACCCACGACACTTACCGCAGCAACTCTCCCTTCGTAATAACGCAAGTAAATGACTGCATAAAGTTGAATAATGAAAGGCTGAAAGGCAATTACGCTGAATTCGGAGTCGAAGTCAAACAAAGGCTCACGAGCGCCGCAGAGATCGATTTTGAGCACAATTCGTTCACGTACGAGCAATTTGTGAGGGCGAATAATAATGAAAGTTTAACGAGTTACTGTTGCAGTGTTGGCACGGAGAAACGACTTAATTAAACATATTATCAACTGTCAAAGCTCCACGCCTATACACAAATTTCTATGTTCAAAACTGGTTACCTATACGTTTGTTCCTTGTTTGGAAATAGGGACACTGCTATTGTTTGATCTGTGCTTGTCGTTTGTATCATTATGATGTGAATATTGCATTGCAACTGATTGCTTACAAAGCGAACATATGGAACAGAATGCGGGACGCATAAGTAAGGAACTCGTGCATGCCAATGTGCATAATATTGATACTAAGCATTCCTATCTATTATTAGAGTGACGTCGTGACAACAGGAACACATAAAACGTATTTGCCAAGGGCGTTGACCTGCGCAAATAAACTCAGTATGATTTGCAGTGTAGTACAGTGCAGTTTGCCAAGAGACGAGTTGGCGGGGCGCGGGAATCGAGGGGATATGCCATCCGGCATAGCAAACACTGCAACGATATCTTGCTTTAACACAAACAACGATTCCGGTTATGTTCTAACTTCTAATTCAAATATCGGGAGTCAGCCCTTAAAACAACATATCATTTTTGCTGTCCATCAATTCTATCGTCAGTTTGTAAAGTTATAAATACGAAACTTCGGGACCGTCTGCTGACTACTAACATGATTGATTTTGCTCCGTGAACAGATGCTCACTCGACGTACAACGTATTCATGATTGATAGTTACTAAATCCCGAACGAAAAATGAAAGCCTGGAGTATTAACTAATGAAACGTCCATGAATTAGCGAGTTAATTAAAATAGGACTTAAGTCGTCACTTTAGAACTAATGAGTGACAATTAAATTGTTAAGTGTCGCGTTCACAAAAGTTTAGTTAGGTTCGTGGTTGCGGGCGTCGAACCCGTTGTGACCGAGCGCGGCAACTTGCACAATTTACTTTTGTATTGTAAGATTGATGAGCACTCCGACGCAGACTATTTATTTACTCAATCCGATCACGCTTTGTCTCGCAATCGTCGCCTTTTACAGTCGTCGTGTACGATGACTGGGCGAGGTACTAAACTAACACTATAAAGTTTCTGACGACTCAAGGTACGGCCATTACAGCGTTGTCTACATAACGGCAGCCACATTTGAAGTATTACGGCAGAGAGCTCTTCGCTCTAGCCAGAAGTCAGTTAACGCGCGAACAGACTGTGCTATTTAACTGGAGTTGACTATGTTAGCTTCCTCTAATTACGTCTACTGAATTTACATAGTGCGGGAAAACTTGGCAACTAGTACTCGATTCGGTGATGTTGAAATGGTCTCGACGTTACATCCTAGATGATTCCGCATAGGGTAATTTAGACTTTGATATAAAGTCTTAAAGTTTTAAAAGAAACTATTGGAAGTTATAAGCGGTAAAGTGTAGTATGACGGGCAAAGTTACTGTTTCCTGAACAAATTTAATCGCGGTTCCCCGTTTCGTTGTTCAAACAACAAGAGCGAAAAGAGCTCGTTTGAACTAGACGAGAGGAATAAGTGTGCTTGAAGCATCGTTAGCACTTGCCATCCCACAGAACGAATGTACACACATTAAAACTTTCCGAATTGAAGGTGACGCGATAATTAAAGAGCTGTATGGAGTGCTACCCTCCAAGTGTACTTTTACTGCGGCTCACTGCCAGGAAGTGATTAAAACAAAACATAATTTAACAATCAACTGCAGTTTTAGTACCGGATATGTTACCTACTGAACAGATAACGGTTTGGGTTTATATCGACACATATATAAATTTGTAATCGCTACTATGGGTTTTTTTAAATATCCGATTAAAAGAAAATGTCTATTCCTTAAATAAAAATCGTCTACTTCTAAATTATATCAATCATATATTAAAAAAGGTTCACTTTAGTAAACATATACACGTAGAAATACACGTTTATTGAATAAGTGATAATGATAAATGCTAATTAGTGCATCCGATTCCGATAGCGATTGATATTACATTAAAAATTATTTTAAAATATAAATTTATGTGCACGCTGTAAGTAATGTCATAGATGGTATTTGGTAAAAATGCAATGCACCGAACACATATCAATAGATAAATTTATTTATTTTAATGAACAGATGAAAGTAATACCTTCCAAATATTTTTCTATTAATATTGTATTTATACAAAGCACAAAAGGGAAGTTTTTCAATATTTAAAAAAAAATACCCAAAGGTTGAACAGCGTAATAAATCGGGATTGTTCCTAAGAGCGGCTTATTTTTAATTAACCAAATTAAACTTTTCCTATTATATTTCGCCTTCAGTCCTCTCTACAAGGCTCTGATAAAAATTAAATACGAAAAGCGAGACGTCTAGCTGGGGAAACGTTGAAAGACCGAACAAAATGCACTAACCTCGCCGCAAATCCAATTAGTTCCAAGATATCCGATACTGTGGATCTGATACGGGTTAAACATGTAATTGAATTTTCAGATGTGTCAATTTTAACAAGTAAAGTTATTTAAGTTCACCGTTTTCATTGTTGCGCATATGGAATTTTTAAATTCTCTCTAGGGATGACAGTTCGGAATGGCAACGTTTCATCAAGGCCATCTCAAACAATAAATCAGCAAGTGGTCTATGTTTGCGATTCTCAATATATTTATTCAGACAGTTAAATATTCCGACTCATGTTTGCGATTGTCTGTGAACTTCACGTTAATATTGGTGTGATCTTTACGATTGAAAATGTTTTCCATGGCAATGCAACCAGATAATTTTGGTTAAAATAAAACGATATTTTCTATAACGATCATCACTGGCTAAGATAAATGGATTTATGAATGGATTTCATCGGCAACTACATTTGAATGCAACCCCGTCCCTTCATCAGTATTCGATAGTCAAAGGAAACTGTGGTTTATGTAAATCTCTAGCGTTTATTACTCTTGCAGCGCTTGGGTATCGATATTGCTGCGAACTGGAGAATCTGTGAAGCGTACAATTTGTTAATCTCGTAAAGAGAAATATCTCAAAGACACGAACGGATCAAGTGGTATTGAAAATATTTCGCGTACCTGAGACATTTTATTGACAGAAATTCATAAAATTTGGGAGGCACGAGGGTACACACGCTTCGTAAAAATCGAATATCGAAGCTACGAGATATTCGTTCGCATGAATTAGTCTCACGTAGCAAGCATTCCGCAAATTGCGGGTGTCAGCTTTACGAGACAAAAGGGTTAAGAAAACTTACAAGAGTTTTAATTTGAGAATACACGAGCGCTCGAAAGTGCGAATTTGCATGAAAATTCCCAACGCCAACGTGTTTAAGGTGAAAATACAATTGTCGTTATAATTTTATTACATTGTCTCATCTACGCTGTCGCAAAAGAGACGTCTGGCCGCGAAAATAAAGTAAAACTCAAATGGGTGTTAAAAACGGTCGAATAAGAAGTGAGAGGGTGTGAGATGCGGTTTGATGCGAATTTGATGAGCTCGCCGTCGAGTACCTACAGAAGTTTCAACGCTAACATTTTTATTAAAGTGTTGTCTGAAAATGTGGCGATGTTTGCAATGAACGAGATGTCGTAAATTTGTCGCAAGTAATTGATTGTGAAACGAAAACATTTCGGCCACCTAAGGCAGACGATTTCGAAGTCTGTAAAAGAAATTCGTACGTAATAGTTGTTCCGACTTGTATATAGTACTCGGGCGAGACGGTTAGGACTGGTACATGGAAAACTACTTATCCTAACTTCGCTTTATCGTTAGCTGTATTGTTATGTCAGTTAGTACCCATTGAATGAGGCGTCATTAGTGCTTCGTAGATAATGTGCCTCGACATGTTTCACGCTTGGTAGTTTTATAAAGAACATAGAATCAGTAAGGTATATAATTACTCTGTGCGATGATCCGTTGAATGCGTCTTTTTAACACAGTTATAGTTATTTGAAAGAGAGCGTTTTGTATTTATTTTACGCTTCATAGAACGTTACTATAAAAGGTTGAATTTCTGAAGTCTATTTTGGATTACACTGTCAACAGACCTAACATTGTACGGTGGTATTTTGTAACTACTCATATGTCATGATGCCGACTGCAATGTCTGTCGTTGCGTATCAACGTCAATCACTTTTTGGGATTCATCTATCTATTGAATAAAATAGTCGTACATATAAATATGTCCAATCCATTCGAATGGTTAAACAGCTGTGCTCACAACTTTAACGAGACCAATAAATTCACTGAGTTAATACCTATTTAGGACATTTCATGTTCTTACTCGAAACTTATAAAGGTTATTTTTTTTTTTAAGATTGACGTTAAGTCGATTTCTAAATTTTTTACGAGTATATATGCGGTAAACGATTTACGAAAAGTGTCAATTAAATTACAAAGTTCACACTTCCACGTTAATATATTGAACGACGAGCCTACGGAACCCAGGTATGTACTCTTAAAATTCACATTCGACACATCGTGGACTGTATTGTCGTCTGAACTACCTTAAGTTATGTATTTTTAACATTATGGACTAGAAGAATATTTTGAATTTGATGATATATCGAAAATAGTTTGAAGATTTTTTGTACTTCTAGTATTTGAAATAATATTTTTAAAGATGACGCCAT